TTAATTAATTAATTAATTATTAAATTGGTATCAGTGTCAGTTAGTGTCAGTGTCAGTGTGTTTAGGTGTTTAGGGAAAAAAAAAAACAAAAAACAAAATGCGCACTGTTGTTTCTGGGCTGTAGTACAGTACAAACAACAAATAACATACATATATATGGTATTGCTGCGATTGTCAAGACCTGGAAATATTTATTTTGGGTTGTTCTTTGGTGGTAGGCTATGGTAGCAACAAGAAACACACAGCTAAATTTAAAAAAAAAAGATTTTTTTTACTTTTGGTCTAGCTTTCCTTTGATAATAATAAAAAAAAAAATCAGGAGATATCCATTGCCATTTACCACCAAATGAAAGACCAATTTGTCCTGAAAGAAACAAGGTATAATTCACCTGGATGTACAAAGTAGTTGTGATGATATGTACGGTTTAGTAACACATGTGTCAAAGTTGTAAAATTTTACTTCGGCTTTAAGATTTGTTTTACCCTTAGGCATGAAGGGGTTAAGTTACCCGTAATGGACAACAGAGCACTTAGTCTATTTGGGGGTTAATACTTCATTACCTATTTTTCTTTTAATTAACACTGTTTTCAAAAGAAAACATTGTACAAGCAAAACAAAACTAATTATATTTTATAAAATATGTGTTTCTGTGTAGTATCTTAAAAGTCCTACTAATTCTCTGTATTTATCAAGAAAGAAACATGTTTCACCTAGAAAATAAAATCTATCTTTAAAGCTCAAATCCAGGCAAAAATGAAATTGAAATAATGCATTGTGCATCAATTACCTTACTCACTTATCTTGATTCCAAACATCTCTTCCTAATTCTTCCTGCAGTGTAATGGATTAAAGTCACAATTTCTTCTATGAGCCAAGCTAATATCTTGCATGGTGACCAAATATGTCTCTCCTGGTCCTGGACTTTCTTTAGGCACTTCTGCCCTCACTGGCCTTGTGAGTTCTCATGCCTCTGGAGCAGGGGCGGACTGACAACTCATGGGGCCCCCAGGCAATAGGGGATCATGGGGCCCCTGTGTCCTTGCCCAAACTCAAAAAAAAAGCCTATGAAAAAGGTACCAGGGGCATCTCATGGGGCCCCCTACTGACCCTGACCCCGGGCCCCTCGGGCAGTGCCCCGAGTTTCTAAATGGTCAGTTCGCCCCCTGCTCTGGAGTCTATGAAAGAGAATCCAACATTTGGAAGTGTTACCTTCACCAATAGGAGGTGTGTACATCAAGCAGTGAGTGATGTAGACACCAGAAGAAGAACCCCAGGAAGTAAAACAAGAGAAGAGAGAAGGATCACCATGTGACTGTGACATCAGGAACGTAAAATAGGCATTTCTTTCATACCGGTAGTTAGCTAATATCCTGGATCCTTTAATTATCTATTTATTTTCCACAGACATTGTCTGTAATTAAAATTACTTTACACCCCTTGGTAGTACTTTAAAATGCTATAAAAGTGGTGACACTTATGACGCCTTCTTGTTATTGGAATACCGGTGCCAGAGAGAAGTGGGAAAATATTTATTTATTTTTAAAACACACTAAGGTGTACAAACGTAGGCATAAATCAGCATGACAGCAATTTGTATCAAGATGAGATGTAGAGATGGTAAGTGTAGCATGCCTAACCCCTTGGCGCCAGCACCTCTCAACTTGGGGTTATGGCAGACTAATTTCAAAATGGCCAGTAAACCACCATGTGACGCAAGATAATGTTGAAAGTGTTGTTGGAAATGTGTAACATCATGTTTCTTTCTTGTTTTCAAGAATTTATTTTTATATGCAGTTGGAATCATTTTCAATTATATTTCTGTTGCTGCATATATTTAGTGTGGTTTCTTTTTTATGTCATTGAGGCATTTATGGCAGTAAAAGGACCCCCTGGTAACAAAACCTACTCCTTTGCAAAATATCTGCTTAAAGAATAACTTCACTTTTTGTTGAGAAAAAAAAGCAATCTCCTCTGGGTGATCAAAGTATTTTGCATGGTTTTTAAAAAGCTTTGTAGCAAACTGCTACCTTTTGTTGCTCTGAAAAAATAGCTGGCTGTTTTACCTTTTCTTTTGCAGGCTGATTCTGAAAGGGAGAGATTGGTTCATTATAATCACCGGGTGTTCTAATTAGAATAGCTGCAGGGTCTGCATCCCTTTAGAAGTATTTAAACTACACTGCTCAAAAAAATTAAAGGAACAGTTTGAAAACACATCTGATCGCAATGGAAAAAAATATCATGTTGGGGATCTATATGGATATGGACTGGGTATTGTGTTAGAAACGTAAGGATGCCGCATCATTTGATGGAAATGAAAATGATCAACCTACAGAGGACTGAATTCAAAGACACTTTGATAATCAAAGTGAAAAAATGATGCAGCCGACTAGTCCATTTTGCTAAAATTTCATTACAGCAACTCAAAATGGTACTCAGTAGTTTGTATGGCCCCCACGTACTTGTATGCTTTCCTGATAACTACAGGGCATGCTCCTAATGAGACAACAGATGGTGTCCTGGGATATTTCCTCCCAGATTTGGACCAGGTCATCACTGAGCTCCTGGACAGTCTGACGTGCAACCTGGCGATGTCGGATGGAGTGAAACCTGATATCCCAGAAGTGTTCTATTGCAATTAGGTCAGGTGAGCGTGGGGGCCATTCAATTGTATCAATTCCTTCATCCTCCAGGAACTGTCCACATGAGGCCGGGCATTGTCCAGGAAGAACCCAGGACGCACTGCATCAGTGTATGGTCTGACAATGGGTCCAAGGATTTCATCCCGATACCTAATGGCAGTCAGAATGCCATTGTCTAGCCTGTAGAGGTCTGTGTGTCACTCTATGGATATGCCTCCCCAGACAATCATCAACCCACCACCAAAATGGTCATGCTGAACGATGTTACAGGCAGCATAACGTTCCCCATGACTTCTCCAGACCCTTTCACGTCTGTCACATGTGCTCAGGGTTATCCTGCTCTCATCTGTGAAAGACACAGGGCACCAGTGGCAGACCTGCCAATTCTGGTGTTCAGTGGCAAATGCCAATCGAGATCTGTGGTGCCGGGCAGTAAGCACAGGGCCCACTAGAGGACGTCCGGCCCCCAGGCTACCCTCATGAAGTCTGTTTCTGACTGTTTGGTTAGAGATATTCACACCAGTGGCCTGCTGGAGGACATTTTGTAGGGCTCTGGCAGTGCACATCCTGTTCTTCCTTGCACTAAGAAGCAGATACCGGTCCTGATGATGGGTTAAGGACCTTCCTTGCCATGCTCTTGAGACTGTGCTAAGAGACACAGCAAATCTTTTGGCTATGGCACTTGTTAACCACTTGCCCTCCAGAGGATTTACCCCCCTTCCTGACCAGGCCATTTTTTGCGTTACGGCTCTGCGGTGCTTTAACTGACAATTACGCTGTCATGCAATGCTGCACCCAAATGAAGTTTACGTCCTTTTTTTCCTACAAATTGAACTTTCTTTTGGTGGCATTTGATCGCCTGTTCGTTTTTTATTTTTTGCGCTATAAAAAAAAGACCAACAATTTTGAGAATAAAACAATATTTTTACTATTTGCTATTAAACATGTTCAGTAAATAAATAAAAAAATCTAATTTCATCATAAATTTAGGACAAATTGTATTCTGCTACATGTCTTTGCTAAAAAAAAATTCTAGTACGTATACATTAATTGGTTTGTGTGAAAGTTATAGCGTTTACAAATGGTGGTATATATATACTGGGATTTTTTTCATTTTTTAAAATTTTTACTTGTAATGGCAGCGATCAGTGATTTATAGCGGGACTGTTATTGGGTGACAATGTTCTGTTATTGTCACTACTGCATTGTCAATCAGGCTTACACTGGGGACTACAAGTGACTGTTTCAACACACATTGCATAGGCATTATCCATTGCTGTCACCATCAGGAAATCTGCCCTCAGTAATGCTATATAGCATTCAGTAGAATCCATGTTAGATTGGAAGCTGCAAGGCAATCCACCGTACTGAGATGCAACAAAGGACGTAAAAATGATAAGTATTTTCTTTTAAAGGATAAGTTCCCCTTTGAGAAGGAATAATAAATGCACATATATTTGCAGGAATGTTTGCCACAGGAGCCTGCAAAGCATTGTACCTGTGATCAATGGATGATGGGTGCAATGTCAGACTCTTGCAGAGCTTTCATTCCATACCTCTGTATGGGCTGTCAGTTTGCAGGGATTGTGAATGAACTATAAGTGCACTCATCAGCGGCCTAGTAGTTCACTGAGAACTACAAGCTGTCTGCTGCAGTAGAAGATGGGACTTGTAGTGCTCTCCTGAGAATGAATGATGAAGCTGTTTGGGTGGAGTTTCTCACAACTGAACTGTTTTCATAATGTGACAGCGGTTGCGGGAAGAGGATCCCTTGCCTGCTGTCACAGGAAGTGGATTGGGACGGGTTGAGGAGGACATGTACTGGAGCATGGTTGTAATCAGGGGCGGACTGACCATTTGGAAACTCGGGCACTGCCCGAGCGCCCAGGGTCAGTAGGGGGCCCCATGAGATGCCCCTGGTACCTTTTTTCATAGGCTTTTTTGAGTTTGGGCAAGGACACAGGGGCCCCATGATCCCCTATTGCCCGGGAGGGTCAGTAGGGGGCCCCATGAGATGCCCCTGGTACTTTTTTTCATAGGCTTTTTTGAGTTTGGGCAAGGACACTGGGGCCCCATGATCCCCTATTGCCCGGGGGCCCCATGAGTTGTCAGTCCGCCCCTGGTTGTAATATGTAATTTGCTCCAGAAGGTGAACTTATTATTTAGAAAATAGCAGTTGTTTATGATACATAGTGCTTTACCAAAATCTTAACTCAGTTAACCTCCCTAGCGGTATGCCCGAGTGTAGCTCGGGGTAGAGTTTCAGTACCAAAAGTGGTAACCCCGAGCTACACTCGGGCTTACCATGCAGCGTTGCACAGGGACTCCCTGCAGCGCTTACCTTGTCCTTCGCTCCCGCGATGCATCCCCTGCAGCGTCCCTGGCAATCTCCTCCGGCCGATGCCGGCATCCGGCTTCCGTGTTCCGGTCCTTGTGACGTCGGGATGTACGGGGCACCGGAACCGGTGAAATTTGAAAATTTTAAGAAATTAAATTGTTTCTAAAAACGATTATTACATAGTAAAACATTGCTGTTTCAAAGCATTTCACATACATTTTGTCCCTACTGCTTTGTCCTGTGCCCTGCCTGCATGTTGATTGTTCTTTCTGCCTGGAAACTTAGAAAAGTCCATGACATCCAAAAAGCGTCCCTTTAGGTCAAAATCGGTTTTAGAGCAGCTAGAGAACAGTGATAGTAAATCAGAACCACTTGCAGAATTGAGTGATAATGATTCGTGGGGAAATTCGGCATCAGACACTGAAAACAATTCTGCGACTTTGCTCAGCGATGTGCGAACTTGGTGCTATATTTCAAATTTCAGTGTTTTTGGTTTGATTATATTATTGAATTAAATTTATTATTATTATGTTATTATATTTTTTATGATTATTTATTAAATTATAATTTATGATTTCGTTTTTCAAGTTTTATCATATCCGGAATGTTTACTAGACTCTTGTTCGGACAGATTTCAGTGAGTTATTCCTAAATTACAGGCCTACAATAAAAAAACTACATATTTCCATGCAAAAAAATGGTACCGCTTTCAGCACCAAAAATCTGAAATAATCATAATGCTAGGGAGGTTAAGGTTTACATCGTCTATAACTGCCACTCATCTGGCATGCACATTTTTACCTTACTACTTCTCCCATGCTACTCTATTTGGATACTGGGAGCAAAGAGATGATGTCCTGTGTAAGGATGGGGCATCCTTCTCACTCCCATGTGACAGCATAGCATGCATGGAAAAGCAAAGGTTCCATTTAAATCAACTCTGTCACTTATACTCTATAAACAAATCCATCCAGATAAAACCTGTAGAAGAGAACATTTCTATGGTGGGCATGAAATCTATCCTCTCTTGCAAACCCAGGAGCCTTGCTGTTATCGGACACTTCCAGGTGTTGAATAGCCTTTTCCATCTCGAATTAGTGATGCAGCAGCAAGTGGGAGGAGCAACATCTGGAAGTGTGGGAGAAAGATCAGAGTTTGTTAATATTCCCTGTCAAAAACAGTGGAAATGTTATGTCTGAAAAACTGCGTAGTTAAAGAAGAACTCCAGGAAAAAAAAAATAAAAACAGGATGAAATCTGCTGGGATACCAGGAGTTAAGTGAAAAAAGGTGTATGCCACTTTCTGGATCTCTGTATTTTGTTTACGATTTCTTGGCTCACTGACCACCAATGGTATAGCTTTCAGTGAATTCCAGCACTCAGAGAAGAGAGATACTGCTCCTACACAGCAGCTGATCTGCTAAAATGCCAGGGTAGTACAACCCCCTCCCACACACACCAAATTACCGCTTTTTGGAAAGTAGACACCCCAAGGAATTTGCTGAGAGGTATGTTGAGTCCATGAAAGATTTTATTTTTGCCACAAATAATTTGAAAATGACAAAACTTTTTTTTTTCACACAAAGTTGTCACTTAAATGATATATTGCTCACGCATGCCATGGGTAAATGTGGAATAACACCCCAAAACCCATTGTGCAACTTCTCCCGAGTATGGGATACCACATGTGAGAGACTTTTTGGCAGTTTAGCTATATACAGGCCCACAAAATCCAATGACCACCTTCAGGCTTTCAAAAGGCATATTTCCTCATATCACTTCCTCACTACTTATCACAGTTTCAGAGGCCCTAAAATGTCAGGATAGTACAAACAACCCCCAAAATGACCCCTTTTTGGAAAGTAGACACCCCAAGGAATTTGCCGAGAGGTATGTTGAGTCCATGAAAGATTTTATTTTTGCCACAAATATTTTGAAAATGACAAAACTTTTTTTTTCACACAAAGTTGTCGCTTAAATGATATATTGCTCACGCATGCCATGGGTATATGTGGAATAACACCCCAAAACCCATTGTGCAACTTCTCCCGAGTATGGGATACCACATGTGAGAGACTTTTTGGCATTTTAGCTATATACAGGCCCACAAAATCCAATGACCACCTTCAGGCTTTCAAAAGGCATATTTCCTCATATCACTTCCTCACTACTTATCACAGTTTCAGAGGCCCTAAAATGTCAGGATAGTACAAACAACCCCCAAAATGACCCCTTTTTGGAAAGCAGACAACCCAAGGAATTTGATAAGAGGCATGGTGAACACTGCACCATAATATAATTTTTGTCACAGGGTTTTGAAAAAAGAAAAAAAGTAAAGAAAAAATAAATGTTCATTTTCTTTCTTCGTTTTCCAAAACTTGTGGCAACAAATGAGATCTGCAAAATACTCACCATGCCCCTTAGCAAATACCTTGGAGTGTCTGTTTTCCAAAAGGGGGTCATTTGAGGGGGCATGCATTTTTGGGTTCCTTGGTGGGATGGGAGAGCCCAAGAAAACCTTGGAAAGCAGTGGGAGGGGGGAGTCCTTTCCAGCTGTTTGTAAAAGTGATCCAGCAGCTAATTCATGGCTAGGATTATTTTTATATGAAAGTGACTGCCTGCTGAAAAAAAACAATACCAGAATAATGCCTGTAACTGCAGGCATCATCCCGGTCCAGCAATTTACCAGTATGTTGCTGGTCCTTCTTGGATATATATGTAACAGCAGAGAACATGGACATATGATGAATTGTGCGTTTGTGGACTAATAACGACCGTAATAATGACACCATTTCATTCTTTTTTGATGTTGAGGGTTAGGCCCAAAACATTTTTAAATTCGGAAGCCGTGATAGGTTTCCATGAGAGTTGTCTGGCAGGAGCTGAAGTTGGGTGGGCGGCCATAAATTGTAGTGTGTATAAATTACTTTTGCCCACAATCAATTGATATAAATCTTCCATGAAAAACAGCGGAGGAACAAACGCTAATGTTGGCTGTGAACGGGGATGATCCTGCTAATACTGCATTTTTGGGGACACTGTTCAAAGGAGGGACTAGTATAGTTCTGTTCATAATCAATATATTGATCTGCACAAACACTATAATAGTAATGGCAGTGATTAACGACCTATAGTGTGAGTGCGATAGTGTGCAGACAATCTAACGCTAGCTGACCCTGGTTGGGAGGGGCGCTAACTGAGCTTGATGCTATCTGATGTCACTAGTGGCAGTAATACAGTGATCAGTGAAAACTTCTTTATACTAACACTGTACTAATGGCACTGGTTGAGTGACAGGGTGATCAAAGGGTAACAGGAGCGATCAAAGAATTAAATTTGCTAATCCAGCGTGTATGCACACACCCGGAAATATAAAGTGACATAAGAGTACCCTGCTTTGCCCAGAGCCTCTGCTCGCCCGCACATGGCAAATAGTAGGCGGGTGGCAAATAGTTAAAACGTAGTTTAAACTTTTTTTTTTAAACATTATCTTTCTTTTTTCATTTTTTAAATATTTTTTTAAATACTTTCATCAGAGTAGTGCAATGTTACCATAGTAATATTGTACTACTCTGTTGCGGGGGGGGGGTGATCAGGGATGTTGCTTTAACACCTTGCATGAATGGGTTAAGTTCATGACAGTTCAAGATACAGTAACTTGTGATTGGCTCCAGCTGGTCACATGGTACAGGGTGCTGTGATTGGCCCCATGTGTCATGTGAGAGCTGTGCACCAATCACAGCTCTCCATAAAAGCTTTGTTGTTATTGTGATCACTGGGTCCCGATTACCAGGATTCTCATTCCGATTGACACAGCGGGCATGAGGGGGATGCTTACGCATCTGCTCAGGTGCGCAGATCCCCACTGTGTTGGTAGAGCACCAGCAATGTATGGGTACATCGCTGGTCCTGTAGCTGCAGCCGTCTGCAGTACATTGCGGGTGGCAGTCCTTAAGTGGTTAAAGTGATTGTAAACCTTTGGTTTTTTTTAATAATAAACATGTTATACTTACCTTTTCCATGTAATAGTTTTACACAGAGCAGCACTCTTCACTGCACTCCTCTCTAAGGTCCCTGGCTGGTGCTCTTGGCTCCATTCCACCCCTTCTGTGAGTGCCCCCAAAGAATGCCTGCTTCTTATGGGGACATTCATGCATCTACAGTATAGACACACAGACAGTGTGGCTCAGCCCTACACACCCCCCTCCTCCCTTGCCTCATTGCAGAATTAGTTTGATAGCAGCAGGAGCCAGTGGCTCCCACTGCTATCAATCTGCCCTATCAAGTGGGAGAGAGTGGGGAGAGCCACTGATTTTGGGCACAGCAATGGATCAAGATAGGGCTCAGGTAAGTATTAAGGTTGACTGAGAGGGAGTCATTGGCACAGAAGGTATTTTACCTTAATGTAGAGAATCCATTAAGGTAAAAAAAAATCCTAAGGGTTTAGAATCACTTTAAAGCATTTTTTTTGTAATGGATGTAGGCTTATTACTTAGCTTCTTTAACCACATGCCGCCCAGCCACTGTTGAAATACGGCAGCAGGGCAGCACGGCTGGGCAAAAGCACGTTTTAAAATGTGTGTTTCTAAAACAGGTAGGGGGCGCGCGCGAGGTGCGCCGCCGCCCTACCTGTCCCACCGATCACAGCCGTGGATGTCAGTAGCCGGGTCACAGCCGGTCGTTACCGGCTATATCCCGGCGATCGGCGGCAATCGCTGACAGAGAGCACAGCTCCAGTAGCTGTGCTTTCTGTCCGTTCCCTGACAGCTCCAGGACACGCTGATTGGGACAGAAGAGTTTCTCTCTCCTGATCAGCGGTGTTCCCTGCAGTACACACCCCCGCCCCCTAGTAAAACACTCCCCTCACACAGTTAACCCTTTCCCTGAATAATAAACGTAACCCCTTCCTCCCCAGTGCCATTAGTACAGTGTCAGTGGGGTTTTTTTTGCACTGATCACTGTATTGGTGTCACTGGGGATGTCAGTGACCCCAAGTCAGTACCCCCCAATGTCAGAATGTCCGCCGCAGTCCCGCCATAAGTTGCTGATCGCCGCCATAAGTCACTGATCGCCGCCATAAGTCGCTGATCGCCGCCATTATTAGTATAAAAAAAAACTAAAAATCCCAGTATCTTTCCCACCAATTGTAAACGCTAGAACTTTCACGTAAACCAATTAATCTACACGTATTGGATTTTTTTTTTTTTAGCAAAGACATGTCGCAGAATGCATTATGGCAGAAATTTATGACTAAATTTGATTTTAAAAATTTTTTTTTACTGGACATGTTTTATAGCAAAAAGTCCAAAATATTGTTTTTTTTCCTCAAAATTGTCAGTCTTTTTGTTTTATAGTGCAAAAAATAAAAACTGCACAGGCAATCAA